GTAAGAGGGGGTGAGGGGGAGGGGGTGGAGGGAGAGGGGGAAGAGAGGGGGAGGGGAATTGGGGGTGAGGGGAAGGGGTGGATAGGGAGGGGAAGATGTGGATGAGGAGATTGAGGGTGAAGGAAAGGGGTGGGTGGGAGAGGGGGTGGAGGTTGGGGAAGAGAGGGGGAGAGTGTGGATGAGGGAGATTGGGGTTGAGGGGAAGTGGTGGATGGAAGAAGGAATAGGGGTGAAGGAGGGGTTGATGCACACACACACACACACACACACACACACACACACACACACACACACACACCACACACACACACACACACACACACACACACACACACACACACACACACACACACAACACACACACACACACATACACACATACACACCAAAAAAAATCATCACAAGCTATGAATCTCATAACCCAGAAAGGAAATGAATCATCTCAACATTATATTTTTAAAATTTATCAGACCTCTATTTACCTCTACAGCAATGGTTGTCAATTTTTATTTACGTAATCATTCATTCGTGTGATTATTCAGATATTAACTGGTGAGTTCAACAATTGCATATTGCGAATGTAAATACTTTCAATTACATTTTTCCAGGATATTTCTCTCATGCAGTGAAAATTCATGAATTTAAAAAATGCCAACTCGTTTTTTTCTGACACTTCATTTTGAATATGTAAATTTTATAACTATTAATTTTCAAAACATAAAAACGATAGGACTGGGAACGTATTCAGATGATTTTGTAATTGTGACAAGTATAATGCAAATAATCGTAATTTGATAAAGATCATAATTATCAGGATAATGAGAGTATTGATAATTATTATGATATTGTAATGGTGATTAACAAAGATAGTAATATATTAAAATAATGATAATGAAGATTATCGATAATAGTGAAGATGAAAATGATAAAAGTAATAATGATAATATGTAATATTAGCGATAACGATCTATGATAATAATAATGATGAATGACAATAATGATGATAATAATGATGTTAATTATAGTAATAGTAGTATTAATCATAATAATTATAGTAATGATATTGAGAATCGTAGCCATGATAAGGATAAGGATAATGATAGCGATAACGATAACGTTAGCAATAGCCATACAGATAACGACTGCGAGTACGATTATGATCGCGATAAGGATGACGATGACGATGATGATCATTATGTCGATGACGATAGCGATGATGATGACGATGATGTCTATGACGATGACGATGACCATAATAGCAATAATGATAACAAAAGAAAAATAGAAACAACAAATGCCAGCAATAAGACCAATGCCAACACACCAACACCACCACGTCATTTATCCTGTAGTAGAATTCCTTTATATAAACCAGAGAATCCTATGCGCCTCCGATATCCCTTCTCCACCACATAAATGAACTTGTCATTTACCATAATCATCATGTATTTCATATAGATATATTCGTTCGTAATCCAGAGCCAACAGCATTTCATAAGTAGGGGGTTTTAACATATTCTTTCTGTAATATACTGAAGTAAGGTCATAGAGTCATATTTTCCATGTGGATATGTGTCATTATTGTATGTAAGTGCCATGACATGTACACATTTATGGCTTGGTGTAAGTGCATTTATTGAATATAGAAGGCAAGGGAGAACGTGTATTCGTTATATAATATACGTAGGTTTTCGAGTATTTGTTCATTTATGACGGAGTTATGTACATAAACTAGTAATATTAAATGTGAGTGTATAAGTATGAATCCACTTATAGACAGTATATGTATATATGCTAGTGTGTATATTAACGAGTGTATATAAGTATAACCACGTATACACAGTATATTAATTATATGCTATCGTGTATATAAGTACAAATCCACGCAAAAAGACTGAACAGCACCTCCTACACAAAAAACACGTCTATAATCCACTCATTGTATCCGGTATCCACGAACGCACAAAAAAAAACAACAACACGAATGCACATCCTCGCAAACGTACGTGCGTGACAGAGATTTGCAGTCTCGTGCCTTGCCGTCGTGTCGCCGTGCAGTGCCGTTGGACGGTTGCCAGCACGTTCATGCAAAGACCTGCTCATTGATTCGCTGTGCAACATGTCGTGGGGTTTGACGTCGGTGATTGATGTAAAAAGGAGGAAAAATGGGATGGAGACTTCCCTTTTGACTGTTGTTATTGCTTTATTGGGTGATTGGGTTATTTGTGGGTAATTATTATTGTTATTATAACTATCATCATTTTCAAAATTGCCGTTGTTACTATCATTATTGTTATTATTATTGCTTAACAGGACTCATATTGCGTTATTTATAGGTAATTATTCTTATCATTGCCATCGCCATCATTTTAAACATCATTATTATCATCATTGTTATCATTATTACTAAATAGCAGTAAAATCAACAAGAATACTTTTTAACGAATGAAGAGGTGGTAAGGGGTCTCATAATATTAAGTTTTATAAAAGTGATGTCAAACGCAATTTTAGATGTTTATTTGTCCTCACTTAGAGAATGAAATAAAGCCTGTGATAATGATAATAAGGATATGATAGTAATACGTATGATATTTGCAATGATGATAACATTTATTATCATCATCATCATTAGTATCATTGTTATAAGTATTATCATTGTTATTACCATCATTACTATCATTATCAGGATTACTATCTTCATTATTGTTATTTTCTTTATCATTACTATCATTATCACCATTATACCATCATCATTGTTATCATTATTAACCGCAGCTATTATCATCATTGTTTTCATCATTATTCATCTGGTAACACTGATGCTAATGACTTACTATAACTGCAAAGATAATAAGCATAATATTATCGCAAACTTAGGTCCTCTCCTCCCTCCCCGATTCCCCTCTAACCATTAAACCCTACCACCACCCACCCCCCACCCCACCTCCTTCAATGCCCCACTTTTAAAAAATGTTTCCTTATTAAGTGTTTTCGCCAAGAGGTGAGAAGGGAGAAGGAGGGGGATGGAAGAGGAGGAGGAGGAGAAGGAGGGGATTGGGAAGGGGAAGGAGGGGAGGATAAGGGGGGTGGGAGAAGGGACGAGGAGGAGAGAAAGAGAGACAAAGAGAGAGGATGACTGGAACAAAGGGAGGAGGAGGAGGAGGAGGAGGAGGAGGAAGGAGAGGAAAGAGCAGACGGGAGAGAGAGTAAAGAGAGAGAGGATGAGAGGAGAGAGTAGAGAGGGGAGAGGAGAGGAGGGGGTGGGGGGGGGGGGAGGGGGCTAAAGCAATCGATACCCATTACGGATTATCGGCTTTCGATCGGAAACAAAAGTAAGATCCTATTTTTCACGTTGTCAGAAACTGATAGGTGTATTTTCCAGGGGTGGGAGGGGGTGTGGGGGGAGGAAGGGGGGGGATGGGGACGCGCTGGTGGTGGCGGGGGCGGGGGGGAGGGGAGGGGGGTCTCGGAAGTGGGCTATTTCTCTTAATCCGGTTTATCATTTCTTTTTTATTGTTTTATTATTAGCATCATTACTCTTGCTACTGCTACCCCTACCGCAGTTAGTATTAGTATCAACATCTTTGTCATTATTATCATTAGTGTTATCATTATTACCATTGTTTATTATATCATCACTATCATTATTATTTATCACCATTATTATTAATCCTATTTTATTGTCATTATTATCATTGTCATTACCATTGCTCTCCCTTCATATTTTCTTTTCGTGTGCTATATCTCATTCTTCTTCTCTAAGACGAATATTTTTCAATCGGTCTTTCTTATGCTTTCATTTGTTATTTATGTCTCTTTCGGTATCAACATAAGCGAAAAATGAGACACAAGAAAGTTGGAAAGTAGGAGAAAAGAGAGAAATATTCTTAAAATACACTGCGGACGGTTTTCAGATATCGGATTTCAAATGATAAAAGCCAATATTGGTACAGAGAGAGAGAGAGAGAGAGAGAGAGAGGGAGAGAGGGAGAGGGAGGGGGAGGAGGAGAGGGAGACAGAGAGAGAGAGAGAGAGAGACAGAGAGAGAGAGCGAAGGTGGGATATTTCTATGTTCTTGCGTGTGTGTGTGTGTGTGTGTGTGTGTGTGTGTGTGTGTGTGTGTGTGTGTGTGTGTGTGTGTGTGTGTGTGTGTGTGTGTGTGTGTGTGTGTGTGTGTGTGTGTGTGTGTGAAAAATAAAAGTTTAGGTGATTCATGGCCGCGGGCTGAACGAAAAGCAAAGACCAAAACCGTTTCTCAGTTTTTATAATCATTATGAGTCACTATGAATTCCTGTCCTACTTAGCCTCAGTCTCTCATAGGAATGAAATCTGCGTCCCTGGTCTCTTTTTGTCTTAAGATGTTTTATTGCTATACATCTTTTCATTTGCAAAAAAAAAATGAAAAAGAGAGAGAGAGAGAGAGAGAGAGAGAGAGAGAGAGAGAGAGAGAGAGAGAGAGAGAGAGAGAGAGAGAGAGAGAGAGAGAGAGAAGAGAGAAAGAGAGAAAAGAGAGAAAGAGACACAGTACTTACTGGTAATGTCTTAGTCTGGTGATGTTTATATGATAATAGGCTTGGGACTTCAATCTAAAATATTTACGTATAGAATAGGAAGAAAATTCAAAAAGTCAAATTAATTCTAATTATTTAAAGACAAAGATATGTAAAAAATACAAGCATGTAATTGTAAAACTTCACCCTTTTTTTGTCTTCTCTTTCATTATCGAAAAGAAAACGGAATATCTTAAATGATTGATAAGTTGATGTTTGATAATGATAACACGGTTGACTTGTTCCCTTTTATCGTAATAACAGTGGACTATTATTTCTATCTTTATTAAATTTTCTTTGTATTTTCCTCATCGTTATTACTGTAATTTACATGATAACTAGCAATTGGAGTAGTTTTATCATTGACAATTTTGATAGTACCCACATCATAAGTTTCATTAACAAGACATTATTACCATCATCTTGTTATCAAGATCCTGGTGTCATCGT